GAGCCGTGGAGGAGCGACATCCCCACTGGTTTTTCATTAAGAAAAAATTCTCATGCAGCTCGCGAAAAAACCTCCGAACCCTAGCCCCACCCATATACAGCGACACCTGCATCCCCGTGAGACGGGATAACTCCAGATCTGTACTTTGGAGTGAAACAGATGAAGGGGTTTTTATTACCCTCAAACCTGAAATTCGCCCCGTGAGGGTTCGAACTCAGGACTTGCTGGAACCCTCTAACCAGTCCGGCTAGAGATCCTTTGGTTCGAGTATATATGTCCACAATAATTTTCAAAATACTGCTATAAATCCGAGTATATATACAAGTGTCTTGTGCATACCGTATGACACGTGTACGTATTTTCGCATCACAATAATGACCGTCATCTCCACCGTCCATGCCACCACAGTCCACGGGCCGCCCGGCTCCATCCGGCTATATAAGACGAGCAAGTGCCAAGGCGACAAGCAAGCACAAGCAAAGCAACAACTAACCAACCCATCGATCCAATTGTCACTCGCTCAGTCGCTCTCCCTCCAACAAGGTCATCTCGATCTTGGTTTCATTATCCATGGCGGAGGAGAAGCACCACCACCATCACCTGTTCCACCACAAGAAGGACGAGGAGGAGCAGCTGGAGCAGCCCGCCGGCGGCGGGTACGGCGAGGCCGCCGAGTACACGGAGACCACGGTGACGGAGGTGGTGTCCACCGGCGAGGACGAGTACGACAAGTACAAGAAGGAGGAGAAGGAGCACAAGCACAAGCAGCGCCTCGGCGAGGCCGGCGCCATCGCCGCCGGCGCCTTCGCACTCGTACGTCGTCGTGTACCTCTCGTCGTCGTCGTCCGGCGATTATCGTTAATTATTATCATATTACCTATACATATGAATTGAACGAACGAACTGATGATCGTTGTACATGTACATAGTACGAGAAGCACGAGGCGAAGAAGGACCCGGAGCACGCGCACCGCCACAAGATCGAGGAGGAGGTCGCAGCGGCGGCGGCCGTGGGATCCGGCGGCTTCGCCTTCCACGAGCACCACGAGAAGAAGAAGGACCACAAGGAGGCCGAAGAGGCCGGCGGCGAGAAGAAGCACCACTTCTTCGGCTGATCCCCTCGTCGTCCCGTCGACGTGCGTGCACGTACGGCCACATGTATGTATGTTTGTACACGTATATGTATCTACGCGTTCGTATGACAGTGAGATGGAGAGACTGGGAGGTGGGCCCACACGCCCGCCGGGTTGTGCATATACATATATGTACATGTATGTATTTGCGTGATGAATAAGTGGCTACGTAATCTGTCGTGTATATGTACCTGTGTATGCTTGTGATACGACGACTGAAAAATGTGTGTGCAACTCTGATTTGCTTATGTTTATGTTTGTCAAACATTATAGTGCCCATTTTATTTTATTGGACTAGCTACTAGCCTAATCTTGTGCGCCGGTGGTATATGGATGAAATTACTATTTGAAGTAGGTGTTCAGCATGTACATCGAGATAATCTATCTGTTTTCTTACCTGTCGTATTAGTTCTGTTCTAAATTAAACATTTTTTTATCAAACTAGCAATTTTAAAAGTTCATACATTTTCTCAACATGTAAATTATATATTATAATATGATATTATAAAAGTACCGCAACTAAAGCTAGCTGCACTACTAGATCAAGATCACCTTTCTAAACTGAAAAAAAAACATTCTAAACTCAGTACAAAAACTACATACTCACAAGATACAAAAAGGGACTACATACTCACAATTTGTCATTATCTAAAAGAGCATACTCACATTTAATTCTACATTTCGATACAGGGAGCAGAATAGAAAACGGAAGGCAGAGGGATAATGACATTTAATATTGAATTCTCAAGGCAGGATACTTTGCATATAGTCTAAGGTAGGATAAATAACGACGGCGACAGGCCGACAGCTCCTTTTGCTTGATCTTCGTCCGCCCACGAGGCCAAGAAAGAGATCTGCATTAATTATATGTGGGTGGCGAAAGAAATTGTGGATTTCAGAGCCCTGGTACACACTTTTGGTTGTGCTATCTAGTAGTAGGATAAATTGAGTACTATGCTTTTAGCACCTCCAACAAGCCTTGGTGTTTGTGTTCGGGAGGGTTGTCCGCGAGGCTAAGGGCACCCGCAATGGTTACAATTAATTACTAGTTTTAAGCCAATTTCTCCAACAGTACTAACTTTTAGCACATAGCTAACATGGATAGCTTCATATGACACTGCCATGTAACCTTCAAATGTATGCAAGAGCTTAGCTCTTGATTAAGAGCTCTTTTCTCTCTCTTATATTAAAATATAAGATAAATACTTAAAGCTAGCTTAAAAGTCAATTATTGGAGCTGCCCTAAGATCATGTGAGGGCTGCTGGAGCAGCCTAGCACCGCCCCTTACCAGCACTTTGCCGACGTGCGTGCGTCCGGCTGGATGTACCAATATTGGTGAATACACAAGTCCTTAATTTGCAAGCAAATGGAAGCCTATTAGGGCCTTCACACTACACAAGCAAGGCCTTAACAAGATCACTAAAGGATAGGTCTAACCAAATATATCATAAGTCTTACACAAGTTTTAGTACAACCTAAAAGATCATAAGTTAACGTACTAGAGTAAGCATCGATCACACTAACAAATATGTCCTTAATTAGGTGCATGAAATAAACCTATGCTGAGAACACCTACAAGAATATCCAAGTTGTCACACAATGGAACTTGCAACCGATAAAAGTAAAGCAAGTATATATAAAACAGCAAGACAAAGAGACAATCTGACTTTTTCCTGTGGTATTTAGTTGTTGCCATGACCCCCTAACCATGTTGGAGCACCTAACAAACATATTGTTACACGCCTATCCCATAGTGAATACCCATTCGTCACTCTAGGGTGGTGGGTTTCAATACTATATACAAGCCTTCTTGGAGCCTCCTCACAATAATAGCTCACTGAGGAAGATCACCAAGTCCTTCGCCGGAGCCATCTAGGTGTTGCCAAATACTAAGAGAGTAACAAGTCTTCAAGCTTCAACTTCAGAAAAGTTGAGCAAGAACGCTGATGCCACTCCGGGCTAACACTCAAATCTCACTTCTTGGCTTGTGTAGTTCTCCAAATGCTTCACAAACGCCTCTCTCTCTCTCTCTCTCTCTCTCTCTCTCTCTCTCTCTCTATATATATATATATATATATATATATATATATATATATATATATATATATATATATATATATATATATATATATATATATATATACGGTAAGACTATTCTGCAGCTGGCAATAACTTATTCTATAGTCACCTTGTTTTACGATAATGTTTATACCAATTTACGATAATAACAAACACATTTACGATACATGGGGTACTATAATTCAAGATGATACTTACCATAATGTTATAATAAATCACTTATGAGAGAGGTACCATAATCTTGTAAATTAGTATAGTAATTATCGTAACTCAAAGTGGCCACAGAATAACTTATTCAGTGGCAGCTACAGAACAATACGTCTATATATATATTCAGTAGCCAGTTACAAAATAAGTTATTCTGTAGCCACCTCCATTTATGATAATGTCAATACATATTTATGATAGTTGTGTTACTATAACACATGGGGATATTTATCATAACGTCATAGTAAATATAGTAAATCACATAGTAAGGAGTTACTATAATCTCGTGAATTAGCATAATAATTATCGTAACTTAAAGTGGTCACATAATAAGTTATTTTATAGCCAGCTGCAGAACAGTATATATATATATAAGGTGAAGAGGCCACCAGCTACTACCCATTAGAACAAGTTGGCACACACAGTGAGCACCAGATGATCCGCGACTCAAAAGGAACCCGGCAGATCATATGGTGGCACTATATAGAGAATATTCTATAACTTATTTCAACATATGATACACTAGCGGGTCATACAGTCCCACCGAATCATATGGTACAGTGCATCATAGAGACTTGGTCAACTAGATAATCACAAAGTCTAGTTTGGCTCACTAGATGATCTACCAAGGTCACAAAGTCCTCCGCTAGATCATATGGCACACACTAGTAGCTATGTCAATAAGTCACTAAGTCAAGTTATCACATTAGTACAAACATAAGTTATAACATTTAAAATGTGCCGCACATTCTAGTATTAAAGTTGACTAAGTACATGTAACGTGGATCTCATTTTATAATACTCTTTAATAGAAAATGTAATATTGGTGCAAACAGAGTTAGAATCAACATAGTATTACATAATAAAAGTTGTGGTTATAAATTTTTCCCTCGCTATAGGCTGTTGGCCAGCCAACAAAACTATTTGATGGCCCACGTGGCCATTCTGTGTGATCTTACCAAACTTCCATTGCCGCACATAGACCGGCCCAACAGGAGATAATACGTGCATTGTAACCATCCAGTTGGCCGGTCCACTGTAAACTCATCCAGTTATGCGGGCCATGACACGAGGGGTGGTGACACGCTGATGATCCGGCAAGACCCTACCACGGGCCTTGCGTGTAGGGATAAAAGCGGCGAGCGGTCGGAAAACACCTTAACCATTCCCTCTCCTGTATTTTTTTTTGGTCGAAAACGGTGGCGAAACGGGAAAGCGAACGGGAAAACGAATTTGATATTATAGGATATCGAGAACGGAATATTTCGATCGGGAACATGTGGATTACGATCGGGAATCGATAACACAAAACGGGAACATCGATACATGTAAGTGTAACCACTTAAAACAGTTAGCTCGACGCAACAATTGCAACCATGCATAATCCATATTCAAACAAATGAACAATACACAGATAAGTTTATAAGATATTAAGATCATAGATTCATAGTCTCATAGTACATATCACACAACAGTACATCACAGGCAAGGCTGGCAACCACACGCACAGGCACAGGCACAACGCAGCTGCCAACAGCCCAACACTCAACTGATGAACATATCATAAGCAGCAGACAACACTACATGTCAAAGAAGCCCAGATCATCTGCATGTGGCCCATCTACTTCATCATCACTGTCCGCGACATCGTCGTCCTACAACAAATAGGAGGCATCAGTCTTATAGTAACAAACAATGTAGCAAAATGACTTAAAGATAACTCAATTGACAATACCTCAATCTTCAGCTTTGAAGCAAGGGCCTCAATAACTTCAAGATCACCAACAATTGAACCAATCTTCTTATCTGAAAATCAAAGTAAGACAAGACTCATATATCAACAAGCATGATTATGATAAAATATTGTACAACAACTAAAACTGAGATGCTTTTCTAACCTCTTCTTCCTGCAGCAACCCAATCTTTCATGCATATCAAAGCTACAACTAAAACTCAGTTGCACGCTTCATGAGCTCCTCCCATTGCAATGGAGATCCTTTGACAGCAAGAACTAGTTGTCTAATATTCTCAATTGTGGGTGTGATTACACTCAAGCCATCCCTAGCAACATGGTTCAGGATGTGACAAGCACACCTCACATGGAAGAATATTCCATCACATATCAAAGACGTTGCACTAGCATTGGCCTTTAGATCAGAGATGATGTCTTTGACTGCTACTTCATTTGCTGATGCATTGTCCAAGGTCAGAGCAAACATTCTCTTGTCAATATACCACTTAACCATAAGTTCAGTAAATGTCTCCGACAGCTTTGTACCAGTATGATGGCCCTCTACATGCACAAAGTTCACAATCCTTTTCTGGATAGACCAATTGTCATCTATCCAATGTATAGTGACACACATGTATGACTTGTTCTGATTTGAAGTCCACATGTCCATGGTGGCACTAAACCGGAAAGAGACAGATTTGAAGTAGTCATACAACCTGTCCTTTTTAGCTAAGAACATGTTCATAATTTCCTTCCTAATGGTAACCCGAGATCTGATTGGAAAGGTAGGACGCAGCGATTTGATGAACTCAACAAAATACTCATGCTCGGATATATTAAATGGGTACTCATGCATGACTATTGCCAGGTAAAGCTTTCTCAAGCTAGCTTCTTCATCATACATGTATGGTACCACAACAGTGATGTCTTTCTTCCCATCTTTTTCCACTTTGAGCTGATGCTGACCCTTCACTACACTATGTGTCATCCTCAGATGGGTCCAAAATCTAGTTGTTCCATAATTTGTAGCACCCGGTTTTAAGAACAAAACCCGATACACACCATATGTGAGCCCAGGAAGTCAAATCTCATATATAGCTACAAATAAGGGTAATATCAAAAGACAATGCTTAAATACATAGCGTATTAGTATAAAGATTGTAACCTCAGAGTATAGACAGCGGAAAGACAACTTCGATCCTCAGGCGAAGACTCCAAATCCATAGGGACAACTGACTGGTTGACCACAAGCCTAATTCCTCCAAACTCTAGCAATCTGGTACCCATCCGGGATTTTTCCAAAGATTTAAAAAGTAAAGCAAGCGTAAGTACATGTCGTACTCAACAAATATAACATGGGGTTCATAAGGCTCAAAAGGTTGACACTGATTTAACTGCGATTAGCTTTTAATAAGTCATCTTTTAGCAATTGGGTGACAACAAGTTTATTCACAAGCCCATAAACACATGATCAGGTAATCATAAATAATGAATAGCATAAACAGTAATCATTAGTGAGCATATCCATCATCAGTATCATCCATGTTTATCATCATTAACCATTAGTGATCATCTATTCCGTAAGGGTTCCAAGGCCGCTTTCGTGGTCGTGAGCACGGTACCGATATATCGCTTTACACTGCGCAGAGGTTGTACACTTTCACTGTGAGTCGTGATTTACCCTTTCGTCCGAGATAGCTAATCTCTTGACCCACTTCCAAGGAAGGTCGGTAGGGTTCACTATGAAGCCTTTCAAAGGTTAAATCTAACAAGTTAGGGCCATTAGATTCACTCGACAAACAAATGTAGAGCCCCCTTCCCGATGGCACAATGACACATAGCCTATACACAAGGGGACAGAGGGCAGCACTATACCTGATTTGGCAAGCCATTCTTATGCCAATAAAGGTAACCACTAACAAGCTAGAAAAGGTCCTCATCTTGAGCTAAAGTCGAGCCATATAGCCCTCACATGACTATACTCAGTAAGTCCCGGATGATCACTTACAGATAAGTCCTTAGGGAGAGGAATCTAGAGCACCATAAAAACAGCCCAATGCTCTAGCCCCCTGGTTCCATGTTGCTAAAACATCTTTTAGTGTTTATTACATATTACATTAGTCAAGTTACAAGATCATGGTTGTAGTTGAACACTAGCATCATGCTACCCAATGCAATACCCCATAGATATCAAGGCACAAGGTACAAAGTACTAGGAAATCCTTACTGGCAGTCAAGGTAGACATATGTAGTATGAATTAAATGATTAAAGGTGTATAGAACAACAAAGAAGATCCCATGCTATACTTGCCTTAAACACCAATCCTTTGGTAAGCTTTAATCTTTAACGTTCTTCTTCTTTTTCTTGATCACCACGTATATCTCATCGACTGGACGTAATCATAAAGCACCACACAAGCATCCATATAATCATACATGAAGCAAACAATAGAACTAAATCAGAACAATACACCAATCATAGAAAATTAAGTAAAAGAGTTTGAAACACGATTCTACACATCGCTACAAACACACAGTTGCGAAAAGCACGCTAATCGGAGCTACGGTGTAGAAGGTACATCTGCCGATAGATTTGCATAATACGTGGAAAAGAAAACTATAGGCTTCATTTATTTTAACTATATAAAAGCTTATATAAATTGAATTAAGTCAAATTTAGATTTGAATTATAAAACTAAAGTAAAACAAATCATATTTTATCTATAAAATCCAGTTGCATAATTATTAATCAAGATATGATTTAAACCATGAAATTCCAGAAATAGTAATATGATAAACATTGTTACTAACGCTAGATCTCGTTGCTATGAATCTAACACAACTTGAATGGGTTAAAAGCGGAGTTAAAACGTAAAAGATATGAAATAAACAAGATTTTCTTTAATAAAATAATAGATTAAATCTAACCTCAAATTTTAAAAGTTGAAAACATATCTAACAATCGTATAAACATGTAGACAACGCAAATATCTAAAAAAACCTAACGCAAGTTGAACGGATCAAATCGGAGTTAAAACAGAGAAATTATGGTTAAAACAAAATCGGTGGCAAATCAGAAAATAATCGAAAACGTATTTTAGACTTAACTAAAACAAAATACGCTTTCAAAAGAAGAAAACGGAATCGAGGAAAATGTTTTGGACTCATGGGTTCTATTATTGAAAAACATAGGGACTCTTTAGCAAGATGGCCACGCCTTGAAGGTACGTTCTAATCTGGACTCTTGATTTGAATCGGACGGTCGAGAGCGAAGAGAGGGGATGGAGGTCGTCGACCCTCTTCGCTCTAAGGCGGCGCGCCATTGCTTAAGATTGAGGAACTTCAATGACGAAAGCAGGGAAAACACCTCACGGGCCACAAGAGAACCAATCTGGGAGCACGGGAAGATGGAGAAGGAGATGGCGAACTCACCTAGGCCAAGGTTGGCGGCGCGAGCGAAATGACGATGGCGCTTCTCTCGGACGACGGCGACTCGACTCGGCGCTTAGGTTGCGGTGTCTTGGTGGGTGCTCGAGCAATGCAAAGAAATGGAAATTGGGTTTAGGGAAAACAGACGCTGGCTCGGCTTCGTATTTATGAGGCTAGGCTACTTGAGTCGCAAGGCAAGGCGGCGACAGGATGGACGCGGACACTTTCGGCAGTGTGGCGGAGGAGTCTGGTTCGGCGACGGCACGAGGAAGAAGAAAACCGGCTAACATGGGGGCCTAGGGTGTCAGTGAAGCATGGTGGGGTCGGGCTATCAGAGAGTGAGCGTAGGCGCGAGGAAACGGCGTGTCGGTGCGGCTTGTTGCTGCACTGGGCCGAAGGAGAGGAGGGGAGCGAGAATGGGCCAGCGGTCCGGTCTTGTGAGAGAGGAGACCAGGATGGCCCACCGGGAGCAAAGGCCGAAAGGGGAAGTGGGAAAGCAGGAAGCGGGCCACACGGTTGGGAGGAAGAGAGTTGAAAGGTGGTGCCAGGCAAAGCCCACGCCAAGAAAAGGAAGGAGGAAGAGAGGGAAAGAGAGTTTTTTTTCTTCTTCTTTTCCTATTTTGTTTTCAACCCAAATTCAAATGTAAACCAAATCAAATTTACATAGGATTTCAAATACACTTTTTCAATTCAAATAAAAATGAGAAATTTTGATAAGTTTTCCAAAAATAAATTTTACACCTTTTTAAATTCTTTTATTTTCAATTTTTCTTTTCTTCCGTTTCTAAGCCATTTTCAATTTTTGTTTCCAAAGAATTTGAATTCATTTTGAATCTTGATTCAAACCACTCAATCAACAAATCAAATGCTCCGGCATGTATGCACAACCATGTTGCTACCTTATGATGAGTTTTAATTTAATGAAAAATTTTATTTTCTTACATTTCATGAGCACAAAATTCAGAAATAAATCATTTTAAACCAATTTTCAAAAGATGCAAATTTTACGGTGTTACATAATTACTCTCACATCTGCCCTTGTGCTTGCATCTTGGCCACTTGCAATGAGCCCACATTTGAACATATGTCTTCCCATTGTCCTCAATGACCACCCTCTTCTTGGTAAAGTACTACCATACATCAGATGTGCACCTCTTCTACCTCTTTCCACAAGGCTGATCATCTTCACCAGGCACAGGCTCATCACCCTCAATAATGATGGCATTTGCTCTATCTATTCCTTGTTGTCCACCCTTGCCACCATCAGCAGCACCACCATTTCCACCACCATCAGCAGCACCACCATTTCCACCACCATCAAGCTGTTTACCATCACCACCATTTTTTACATCAAGACCACCACCGCCACTACCAAAGGCCACCTCCACTTGGCAAAGAAACCCCATCATCGGTTGTTGTTGCCGGACTAGATGCACGAGTTGCACTAGACGATGACACAAACCCCTTGTTGACCTTGACATCTTAGATCCCGCCAAGAGAAAAAATTACGATGAAGAATTCAGCCTATATGGGGACCGCAGAATGATGAAAATGATGTCCCGGAGAAGTAATCCTTGAAAATAATGATGTTCATTTGGAATAGAGTGGCAATCATTATCCATGAAAAATTATCACACCATCCTCGACTTAGTTTCGTTTCAGTTTTAAAATGGTATTTGCGATTCACGATGCAAGCAGTATGCACTGAAACACTTAATAAAAAATTTTCTTGGCAAACCAAAAACTGCATTAATTTTCTCTTATTATTGAAAATACCCCCTTCTTCAGTGACAAACTTTTTATTTGCAGTAAGCCAAAGAAAATTCTGACATGCAAATAAGCAGCACCAGGTTCACGGATAATCAAATTGAGTTCATTATCAAAGATCCACCTTATCAACCATGTCAATGTCCTAAATGGCATTCACTTTGAATCGGACAAACAATTAGCATTTGTAATTTCTTCATTAACCTAGCATACATTGGTTTGTATCTAGCCTACATTCGCACACTAGCAGTAGCAATACACAGCTCTATATAACACAGAAGTTCAGTGGTTGAAGACATGCAGTTTACCTGGGGTTGGAGTTGGAGTAGGAAGTGTGGTGCTATGCACCACCACCGGTAGTGGCGGCTCTAGGATGAGCCGGCGCTTGATCTGACGAGCCAATGACAGAGGGCGGCAGGACCCCGATCGCCAACATCATTGGTCCACCGGGTTCCGCCGGCTAGGGGTGGCAGGGCGGAGGTGGGCGCTGGGCAAGGCGGGGGGTGGAGGAGGACAACTGGCAGGGTGGAGGCCGGAGGGCGTGCGATGGGGCGAGGCGCAGGCGGGCACCGGGTCCGGCAGTGGGGAACATGGCCATGCGGAGCCTAGAGTCCGAGCCGAGGCCGCGATCATACTTGGAGGAGGGACCACGAGGCGTGACGCCGCGCCGCTGGAGCCTAGATGCGCGTGATTCGCGTGAACGAGTCGGGGATGGATGGACGATTAGGGTTTGGCGATGTCGCGATGGCACCGGTTTTGTTCGACCGCACGGGAACAGACGGGGAGTGCCTA